TTAAAAACAGTTAGATTTTCTTGTGAGGACAGAACCCTGCGAGGGCAAGAAAAGATGCAAGAGAGGCTCGAGGGTGTAGGCGCCACGTATATCACGGTCGAAGCGGTCAAGCTAAAGCGTTAGTTTTCTTGTAGCGCACGTTCAAGTCGTGACAGCACCATCAAACCTGTGGGTAGAGTTCCTGTCACCTCAGTTGCATGTCAGTGAAAGAATTTCGCTAAAGATCCGTCCACGGCCTTGCTTAACACGTTGACGACAGCGTGACGCGGTAACGCGTCCCACTTTGCGCACCTCGTGGGACATTGTGACGCGGTAACGCGTCCCACCCAAGTCATCCCTTTTTCTTGCGCTTGTGCGACTTATTCCTAAGGTCTTTGTACTCATTCTATAGGTCATACATTAGCATACTTAAAAACCACATGGCTCACAGAAAGGCCAAATATTCTTTTTCCTTTTGAAGAAGTGTCCAGACCTTACGCGACATGCTTTAAATCATTCCTCTTTCTTTTTCAAGCCCGTATTTACCCTATTGTGGGCGTACCCTTATCACAGCGAACGAAAAAGAAGATACGAAGTTATTACGGACCTTTTATCTTGGGGACATTTCGGTTGAAAGTCCATTACAAGCTGACTTTTTGAGGTGGTGTGTACAACAGTTCAAATCAGGAATTGATCCACCCCACATATCGTAACCGTAACTCTTTTGACCTCTTTCACTGCTATTCATTGTTTTATAATAAATCCGATTGCACTAATGTAATTGAATTACTGAGAATCACTTACAAAGGGTTTCAAATGTTTGCATTTTTTCCTCGAGTGCACCAACATGATACCAAGCCGGGAAGCATGCACATAGTCGAACCACTATTGAATAAGAAGTAACAAGTTTGTGATGACCATCTAAAGGCGTTTCAGGCGACTTACCTTATATAGGGTGTTGATTTCATCTTTGAGAGTTGGTAAGGTTTTGACGGTTTTTGTAAAATATTTATCGAGTTCTTGGCCAAGGTACTTGTTTACTGGTTCCAATTGGCAAGTTAAGCTTTTTGAACAATCGCTTTCTACTGTGGTCAAATCTGAAATGTCTCTTTTTACATATACTAGCCTTCTTTCGCGACATCGTCAGGCTTCCATTTTTCTGCATTCGTCTGTTCCACAAGTGCTAATCTTCAAGTACGACTCCATCCATTTCTACGACGGCCCACCTTCTTGAGAAATTCCCTGCGCGATCTCCTCACTAGAACGATTTATCAGTATGGGTGCCTAGGTTCCACCGTAATCACGTTGCACTGTAGCGCGCTGTTGAACATTGGAGCGCGCAATTCGACGGCGCACGAGTGCAAAAATGTTTTTTGCCGGGACTAAGCCTAGACCTCTTTTTGCACCTACCCGGAGACCCTCCCAAAATTCACCTGTGGCATTCGCCTGGTCGTGCAAGTGTACGCCTCGCTACTGGGACGAGGCAAACCTTGGCACCATCCTCTGAGCCGTCGCGCTGCCATGCTCCACTTCCAAAAAGGATGGCGCTCCGTACAGTTGACGACCATATTCTCGTCGTGGCTTCCGCCAGGGAAAACGACGAAAACAAATCGATAACATGTGGCACTGCGCGCCCAGTCGTGAATGTCGTTACGGTGGAACCTATGCAACCATACTGAGAAATCGTTTCTGTGATCTCCCCGTCCACCACCTGGCTTGGAGGAGTCCTCCCATACTATTAATCCTCTCCATCATCACCCTAACCACTACTCTTACCAATACTGTTTCCGTAGTAGTTGATGCATCTACAAATGCTTTGCCATCGATTTTTCTTTTTGTAGAAATTGAGAGAAAATACCCTGGGAAATGGAATCTCTCTCCTCCACTAAAGCACGGTCTCAACTTGCCACCACAAATTTATCCAAAAATCTCAAGCAAGACCCCCCTTCACACAAGCAAAAACACGCAAAGATCTGAAACAACAGCCTTTCCGAAAATCACAAATGCGGTCTAGGATCGGCCAGACGTAGGCCATCCCCACCCTCACCCTTGTAAAGTCTGGTCACCTGTATGTTTCGTCAACACCAACTGGATTCCTTGGCGTAATCCAAACAAGCTGATTATGATGACAGTTGCGGCAAGTGTACAGAGCAAGATGCAGACAACATAGCACACGATGATGACGACTACGCGACCTTTTGATGCCACGTACTGAAAATTTGAAAACGTCTCAAAATACCTATTCTCTATTAACCAGCGGTTGTATAGAAAGAAGTGTGTTCAAAAAGTGATACTTCGCTGAGCCTCATGTCCCCGATATAAGCTCTTTAAAACGATGCTTGACAGAGTCCAAGGGGTTGGGCTTAAAGTGATAAGAGGATTTCTCAATCGCTTGGAGCAGGGTCAACCGTCCGTTGGACAAAGTCCAACGCGACGACGAGAGTAATGCCGAGAGTGAACGTACGCACGGAGACACAGACGGCTCGCGGGTGGCGAGAGTGAATGCCGGCGCGGAGAGCGGTCAACATCGGTCCAACGTCGCTCCAATATCGGTCCAACGTAACGGTTGACCCTGCTTGTGAGGTGTGTTTGTGCCATGCGGTCGTCGGAGCCTTCTCCTTGTATCCGCTGCATCGAGCTGTACTACGCTACACCCTTTAGGCTTCCCTAGATCGTCTCGTTTGTCTAGTGGCGAACTGTAAGGACTGCCTCTCCGAGAGTGTTGCAGGTGCGCTTAAATAACAATTCCAGATCGAATTCGCTTGGTAAAAGCGGTCGATAATGAAGTTGTAGATGGCAAGTTGACTGCTAGTGGAAAAA